CTATAGACAATTTTTTTTAGACTTTAGAATAGTTTTTTAGATTTTTTTATATTTTAGTTATTTTTTATATATTTGTTTTTTTTATTTTTTTATTTTTGTTTTATCTTTTTTTTTTTTACTTCTCTATAAGAAAGTATTATTAGATTAGTAGCATTCTATTGTAGAGTAGTAATTCTGACAAGGTTAGTAAAATTTATCTGTTGATATTTAGATTCACATTCTCAGAAAGTTGAGGATTCTAGAAGGAGAAAAATTATTCACTAAAGCAGGTTGTTCTTGGATCATACTCTAGTATAAATTTAGGATTTATCTTATTTTTACTGTAATAATGAGATAGATCAAGAGAATCTTTATTTATACAAAAATATAGTAATATTCACAATTTGTATGTAGGTTTAGCTACAGTTTGTGACACTTAAAGACTACATTTGTCCTATTTTTGGGCCCCAAATTAAGATGTGTCAAAATGTCGATTTATGTATAGATTTCAAATACTTCTGGTTATTACGTGACTAGGCCAATCAGATACATGTTACTTGAGTTATCAATGCTCAAAGGTATAGTGTTTTGACTATCTATTAAACCCAAATTTAATTATTTATAAAGCTAACTTAGATTCGTTATTTAAGTCCTTTGAGCAATCCAAGTAAAAATCTCTGATTTGGTTATCTAAATTTATTAATCCAGATAGTTGGATTTAGATCAAAACACTACTATGTAAGATATCAGTTTAACCAGAAGCAAAATTAATGAGTTCAGATTTAATTATTAAATCAATATTAATGATTAAATCTGGATTTAATCAATAAATCAATATTAATAATTAAATTCAAATTTAATCATTAAATCAGGATTAATAAATAAATCCAGATTAGATATCAACTCTAACAAGAAGCATTTTTATTAAAGATATATGTTTAAGAATTTGATATCATTATGTCCATATATCTGTTTAACCAGAATACCATGTATTACAATAAAATGTAAAAGAACAAATTATAATCAACTAATCTAATGCAAGAAGCAACGGCATGAAACTATCTTAAACATTAGCAAAAATGTAATTTTACCCACAAACTTTCATCCAACTCTCGCAAAATAATCCTCAATTTTAGCATTAATTAACTTTGCTTTAATTTTCAATATAGCGTGTGTTTGTTTTTATAATGTATTATAATCCTTAATTTAAAATTTTAAAAACAACTCGAATTTAAAATTTAAACCAATTTTTCAAAACGATTATAAAATTCCAAAAAAAAAATTTAAAATTCCAAAAAAATTTTAAAAACAAATTTTTTAAAATTTAAAAAAAAAATTTTTTAAAAAAATTTAAAATTTAAAAAAAAAAAATTTTTAAAACAAGATCCACCAAGAGGACCAGGATATACTATAAACTGATTGGAGACTTGAATAGACAGATAAACCGTGTGACGCCTAAATTATTATAAATAACAAAATTATGATTAATTATTGAAAAATTAGTTTTTATATTATTTCCTTCTATTGAACCTCTAATTATAACCTTAATCATGCTTTGTCATTATTTTCTTGTATGAATAGAGCTAGTTCACTCTTCGGTATTCGCCTATATGATTTAAATTTTTTACAAGCATACTCAGCCAATTTTCCAGTTAACTCCTCATGATATAATTCTATATATCGCCACGATTTTTGTGCAAACTTCCTAATATCGACCGAGTCTAGTGTATAAGGAACAGTTTTTTGTAGACTAGTCCAAGTATAATTACAATAATCTTTTGTATATTTCTTGGCAGCTCCCCAATATATTTTAATAAAGTTAAGTTCACAATAGAATTTTGGATAAAAAACATATAAATAACCCACACCTTCTATTAATTCTACAATTGCTGACTTTTGTGCAATAAAATCAGATTGGGATGCTATTATCTTTTTTGTACAACAGTTCACATGTAAATTATCTTTTGTTAATTTCTTATTCTTACACGTTTTGCATTCTAAAAACAACCTATCCTCCTAAAGCCCTCTCTTCTTTAATATTAATTTAATACTTTTTGGTTCTTCTCACATAGTTTCATTATAACCTTCATTTTCGAATTCATAGTTTTCCTCAAATACTATATGCTAGATTTTTTGTTGTCCATCAGCACCAACAAAAGTTGTTGATCACATTTTTGGTTGGTTTTCCCTGGGTTTTAGATTCATCCTCGTGGCGATGAAAGCATCAGCTGCATATGCTGCATGGTTTGTACTATTATCAAAGGCAAAGATAGCTATTGCATTTGGGAATTTGGCTTCAAAAATAGGAATCACCTTATCCCTAATTTGTTCTAACAAATTATCAACTGTCCAAAACCTTTTTGGTTTTTGCCAGGCATTAGATAGCAACATACTTCTACAGGAATGTTTGAATGTATTTCTTTCTCTTCTTTACATAACCTTAACCAACCACATTCTTCTAATAGAAACTCAATCACCATAATTGATCTTCCATTCCCTTTTTTCGCAATGGCATACTTCCATCTGGAATCCAAATCTCTCTTTTTCTATCGTTCAAATAAAAAACGCATTCATCGTGCATTATGAGGATTAATTCTCGTTCATTTGCTTTGAGTACTGGTGGAATTCTTTCTATATTTTCTCCTTTATATCTGAATATGTAAAATATTTCAACATTTTTAAGAGTTATGAAAAATTAACAAAAAAAAAAAAAGATCTTTGAAAAATTAATTTTATATATGAATTTTACAAAAAATCATAAGAAAATACAGATTTCAAAGAGCTATACTGCGAGATTTTGTTAATACAGTTTGTGTTTTAAATAAAAATACTTCTAATCTTATTTTAAGTTATTTATGTAAAAAATTTTTTTTAAAAAATTGATCTTTTTTTTTTTAACACCTAACCCATATATTCAAATTACAGTCAACTCTCTCTAAGTGCATAGTCAAGAACATATAAAAAAATCTTGTATTTAGAGAGATAAGAATCTATAAACATATAAGTTAAGACCATGCATTTAGAGAGACTAAATTTAGGGGATATATTTAGTGAGGCCAAAAAAAAATATGTATATCATTTCTATTATACCTTGCAATTCGAGATTCTAAATTTTTTATTTCTTCCAAAAATTTTTTCCAATATGCCACCGCGTCATCACGCTCATGTCCATCTATGGTACACACCTAGGGTTGCAAAATTATTTTGTGTAATAAATGTAATGTGAAAATACAATTTTGCAATGCAACTCTATACATACCTTGCCGGTATCTTTTGAATTGGAATCCCAAAACATTTAACCACCTTTTAGCTGTCCGCAAGCAGATAGTTTTTTTTGTCCCTTCTGTATACTCTTGAAGAATAACATCATTAATATATTGTTGAAACTCAAATGAATCAGCACCATTTATCACACAATTTTGTCGTATCCATTGTTTATATTGCATATAATATCTTCATTGTCAACAAACCACTTGTGTTTTTGATGTTTGCTACGGTGTGATTGTGGAAATAAACTATGATGCAAATAATACTTGGCCAAGGAACGAATTCTTCTGGAAGTATATGGTTTTGGTTTAACATAGGTTTTATATGCGGCCTCCTTACTGGCATTTTCCTTTCCATACCCATTCTCTAACAATATAAGGTATTCATAAACCGCCCGACGTTCATTATATTCAAATGCTGTAATTATATATCCATTCTTTATCAAATATTCGTGAAGTTTGTTAATTTCTTCATGTGTCGTAATAGATGATACTTCATTTATCAAAGATGCACTGGTATCACTTAAAAATTAAACAAATAAGAATCTTATACATTACAGTAGTTATTTCAAATAACACTGCTTGTTCAAAAACACAATATTCTAATTAGCACTAATAAGTGATAAAGTGTAAAATATTCAAATACATGAACAAGTAGTGAAATTGATAACCAATAAATAAAAAAATAATAATTCACTAACTTTGTATCCTTAAAAAAACTCATAATCTTATGGGTTCCTTTAGTAGCAATGGTGAGTGTCCCGGAGGTACCAAACTTACGATAGTAAGTTGTTTTTGGTAATCCTTTTACCATTCTCACTTTTTTTTCCTCCTTACGTATGGGTGTTATAGTAAGTAAGTGTTCACGTATCATTTCATCTTCTTTATTAGTTCCTTTCTCGTTTTCCTCTTCCTTATCAAGCTTACTATCCTCCTCTAAAGCTTGTTCTTCAATATTATCCTCAACTTCCTCCTCAATGTTATTCTCAACTTCCTCCTCAACATTATCTTCAACCTCCTCCTCAACATTATCCTCAACTTCCTCTTCAACATTATTCTCAACCTCCATCTTTTCTTCCCGCCTTTTCACCACTAACACCTTTTTTCGTTTATTGTATTTCTTAAGGTTTTTATATAACTTTCCTTTCACCATTTTATTAAAGCGTCTAAGTTAACCAGAAATTGTGTTTCTTATGTGGATTTTTATCATATAAAAACTGTATTCGTACATGAGCTTCGAACAGATTATATTTTGTATGAGATGCTGGAGCCACACAAATCACACAAGTCCTTAATAGGACTACATAAATATTTTGTTTCGTATGTGGATTTGCACAGTATTAAGAAGCCACACACAAATTACTTTCGTATATGTGTTTTAATAGATTTTTACTAGGATCGCACGAACTATATTTCTTACGTACGGTGCAAAAAATCTAAAACCTTAATATCTTTATATATAATCTTTGTAAAGCTCTAAAATCAAAAACCTCAATAATGCAGAAAATTAGCCTTTTGCATATCAAGAACAAAGTCAAGAACAAAGTATACCTAAAAAGCAGACTATTCATGTACTGCTAAATTTAGTTATTATTGAGAATGATTATTATTGAGGTTTCTAGATTACCTGCACTATACGTACGTATGTACGTAAATCTCCACTTTGTTTTTGAGTAGTTGCATTCATGTAAAGGCGAATTTTTTTCTTTTTTTTGATTAGTCACTTTATCGTTATCAATTTAATTATGGCATATAGATATAACTTATTCTTAATTATGCCAAATCGAAATAATTTATTTTATTTGTTCGTTGTGTCATGAATTTTCTTTTTTCTATACCACCAT